TATAATAAATATTAAGTATGTCCTTTTTGACAGATATGGCAGATTTGGCAGATTTGTCTGTCCTGTCAGTTTCTGCCGGTTTCATCGTCAAAGAAAATATTTTAGCGAAAATATTTTTCAAGGTGAGAAAAATATACTTAAGAATAGTCTTAGACAAGATGGCTGTAGAATAAACTGCATCTCATACAGGCTTGTCCTGATCGATTGATATATATGTGACCTATCCAACATCTGAAAAAGTGTGACAGATATTTGACCTCATTTAATATGACTGCAGCATATTAACATTTTTGCCTTCTTCCTTTTATTATACTGTAGATTCTCAAAATGTGAGTTTTCCTTACTTAGAACTAGTTATTACAGCCTCTATTATCCTGTATCAATATGTAGCCATTCAGAACATCATTGGGTTCATTAAGTTAACCTTTGCGTGAACTGGTATTTGCTGATCGAAGATGCCCAACTTCACATTTCTAATGTGTGCCCTTTCTCTGTTTAGGCTACAGGTTCTCATCAAAAAGTCCAAGAAGAAACTCGTCAAGAAAATTTGAAATTACGTCAAGAGATTTTAGGCTTGAGAGAATAACTTTCCAATTCATCTTCTTAAATTTCTGAAATTTCTGTAAAATGTAATCTTTTAGAAATAAAATTAACTGAACTTTCTTCTTATTTACATCGTTGAGATAATAGGTTTAATCATCTCAAAGAAGCATATAATCAACATAAAGAAGAATTACGTTTTCTTTAAGAGAATAGTCGTTTATAAGATCAAGAAAGAATTCAAACATTAAATCAATCAGTTGAGCAACTCAATAGTGATTACAATTATGTACTTGATCAGCTTCATACAGAAAATTTATTAAAATAGATTATTTTTCTTTTTCTTTTTCTTTCTTTCTTTCTATTTGATGTACTGTATTTTGATAATTATTTAAATAAAATTTTACATATTATTACGTTTTGTCTTTTATAAAATTGTTCAATATTATTTTAAGAGCTATCAATCATACTGTTGACACTTTGACTTTCACTCTTTTTTCTTTTTTTAAATAAATTAAAATAATGATTATTATTCCTTTTATTGATGTTATACTATTGTTTTATCATATGATCAAAAACTACCACATTTGCTTGTAACCAATTACTTTCTATCCATTTCAGTTAATCTATTAAGTGAGAATTAAAGATTCTCCTAATGGAAATTTAAAACAATCTTTTGGTCTAAAATCTACACCCATTGTACCTGTAAAATTGAAAATTAAAATTAATAAATAGAATTTCTTATTTTAATAAAATGGAAAGATTTATGATAATTTTATAAACCTTTAAGAATCTTACTTTTATTTGAACACCTTAAAAGGCTCTTGCAGCTGCTACTTGTGTTTCCAATTTTACAAATCCATAATTTTATCATTATATTATAAGTAACTTTCAATTAAATTAAATTTATATTGTAAATCCCTTCTGATGCTTTGATTTTCATATACAATACAAATATTGCTATCATATAGTAGTTGCTGAGATAGTTAAGGTAGCAGTGTTTATAAAGGTTAATTTAAATGAATCTGTTATTGATTTAGATGGTTTGTTAGGATGGTTTATCTGGGTGGTTGAAGAATATGATACACAGAAGAAGGTAATTGATATCCTGGAAGAGGTAATTGTTATCTTGATTGTGATTCTGAAACATTATATATTATAAATAGTGGTTAACCTTGTGGTATCATTGGATGATCTAGTAATAGTTAACCTGAAGGAGGTTGCGATAGGTGGTCAGAGTTTATATATGCAGTATATTGTAAAATCTTAGATAAAACTAAAAGCAATTTAGTATGAAAATCAGGTCTAGATCTAATATGGTCTAGAGTCCTAAAGCCCAGTTTAAAAACTGAATCAGTGATTTATCAAAACAGAATTTCTAAATACAATATTGATTGACATTCTAGAAACTTATGAAAATTGGCCGATCATTCTAAAATTTAAATTATAATTTTTTTGAGTTTAAAGAGTATCCAAGAAGTTCTGAAATAGGAGTTGCCTTAATATATAATGTTTCTAGATGGAATACTGATCAAGTAAAAAAAATTTTTAGATTAAAAAAAATTCAATATTCTTTAGGTGAACCTGAAAAAATGGCAAATCTAAAAAATCACCAATTTTTAGGTGTTGCTTGTAAAAGAGAATTTAGAACATGTTAAGGAATCAAAATTTGCAAATTTGCTTTAAAGCAAATATTAGAAGAAAAACATACCGTTGTAGATTTTGAAAATAAATATTATAATGAATTATTAGATCAAAAAGATTATAATTCTCAAGAGCTTACTTAAAGGTAAGTAATTTAATATTTATATTTATTTAATAAAATATTTTATAATATTTTATTTTTTATTTAATATTTTTAGCCAATTTATTGCTGCACATAAACCTCCTTGTCCTTTTGTTAATTCTGAAACAAATCTTCATTGTCATGGATGTCTATTTTAAGAAAACATAAAAACTTAGTATTTACAATATTTTTTTTAAAATATTTTTAAAAAATTAAGTTTAATTATTTTTATTCTTAAAAAAAATATTAGGCAATAGGAAATGCATTTTTTATTAGATGTGCTAATTAGGATTGGAAAAATCCACAAAAAAGACATAGATATATTCCTATAAAAAATAACAGAATTGATAATAACTATTTAGAAGAATTATTTAAAGATTATAAATTTTATTCTCTTGAAGATTTTGAAAAGATATAATATTTATTATTATTTATTAATTTAAATTTTTATTATTATTTATTATTAATTATTTATTTATAGAGAAATGATTTAGATTTTTCACAAGTACAAACTTGTAATACTATATTACATAATTCTTCAAAACAAACAACTTATCGTATGTTGATTTTTAATTTTACAATATATATCTTATATATTTATAATTTACATAAAATATATGAAATATTAATTTATTTTTAAATATTTATAGGTTTTTCTCATTTAATTGAAAATATGATTATCGAAGCACCAATAATTACTCAAAAATGCAATGTTCAATTTAATTTATTTACACTAGATAATTTAGAAAATTGTCTATTTATTGCTATTATTTCAAAAGGAATTCACAACCATTTACCTCCACCTTTTGTGACTACATCATCTAATATTTTAGAACAACTTAATAAAATTATTGAACAAGAAAACATATTATATCTTACAGAAAGAACTTTATTAACAGGTAAATTATATTTAATTAAATATGTAATTTATTTATTAAAATATAAATTAATAAATTTTATGTTTAGGACAACTTTTAAAATTATATTTGAATAATACTACTTCTATAAATAATTTTCATATTTCATTAAATAATTCTACAAAATTAAATTACTATATAAGAAAACAAAGAAGATTACAATATCTGTATGGAAGTAATTTAATGAGTATGTTAATAATTAATAATTTTTAATTTTTTATTATTATTTGATTTTAATTATATCTATATAAATTAATTACTTAATTAGGTATTGTTCATGAATCATTACGTCAACAACAATGTAAAAATTCTTATATTAGAAATATCTGTAAGTATTATATTTTAAATTTAAATATTATTAATAGAAAATATTAAATGAAATACCCTAGAACTAGATCAAATTTCTATAATTTTGCTACTAATAGATTTAATTTAATGAGAGGATTAAAATAAGCTATTATTCATTAAATTTTGATTATTGGTTATTATGATAATTTTTTGAAATTTATATTATAATAATGAATGA